TTCCTATTGAATTTTTTTTCCTTAGAGCACCAGACTCCCGGATCTCCAAATCCCTGTAAAGTGTGAACATCTGAAAGAATTATAAATATAGAAAAAGAAGACACTCAAACATGAATTCAACTCATCATTGCAAGGCAATATAGCTACATGCTTTGCCACTCACGCCAGATGGCAACAACAATCAACATGGATTCTCCTCCATAGATTCAAATTAGTCTGGATGTGTAAGCGTTTAGAGTAATTTTCTCTGTGTGGTTTTTTTAAACTAGGCTTAAAGGCTAATGATTACTAAAAATCAGAGTGCTTTTTTCTTTTAAAGGATGTATTTTAGAGATGTATTCTTAGTCTTTTGTTTTTCAATGTGTGTTTTTATGCTACAGTATAAGGTTTTGCAATTTTAGAAGGCAACTGAACATTCTCATTGGGTTTTTTGTTTGTTTGTTTTACTCTTAAAATATATTTCTACTACATTTTGGATTGAATTAAGTATTTGCCTGCCATTTAAGTTACAGTGGTGCCTCACATTACGACGTTAATTTGTTCCAGCGAAATCGCTGTAGAACGAAAATGTCGTAAAGCGAAAATTAAAAAGCCACTGAAACACATTAAAACCTGGTTAATGCGTTCTAATCGGCTAAGAACTCACCATCCAGTGAAGATCTTCCATAGGGTGGCCTTTTGAAAATGGCTCCTAAAAACAGTGGGGAGCCCGGCCTTTTTTGGGTGTCTATGCAGCGGAAAATGTCTCCTAAACACAGTGGGGAGCCATTTTGAGCACCCGGTGGCCATTTTGAAAATCCGACAATCAGCTGTTTTGATCGTCGGGAAGCGAAAATCGGTTCCCAAAACAGGGAACCGATCATTGTGCAGCGAAATTCCCCCACTCAAAACGTCGTTTTGCAATCGCTTTTGCGACTGCTTGGGTGTCTATGCAGCGGAAAATGTCTCCTAAACACAGTGGGGAGCCATTTTGAGCACCCGGTGGCCATTTTGAAAATCCGACAATCAGCTGTTTTGATCGTCGGGAAGCGAAAATCGGTTCCCAAAACAGGGAACCGATCATTGTGCAGCGAAATTCCCCCACTCAAAACGTCGTTTTGCAATCGCTTTTGCGACTGCAAAAACCTCATTGCAACGCGGATTCGTTGTTAAACAGAGCGCCCGTCTTGGGAGGCACCACTGTACTCTTTCATATATCTTTTTAAGTATTTGTGCCTATAGTTTTTATAGCTATAAGCCTTTTTGGATGCTTTACAACAACTCTGAAGTATTTATGTGGTCAGGGTATATAGAAGGAATGTTGAAATAAATTTTGTAGATATAGTCCAGCTAATATGTCCTAGAATCACTGCAACAATGAAATGAGTGATAACCAGGTACCCAGATGAGTTTCGATTTGACTGGAAAAGATTGTCCGATTTCACAGGGAATTAAACATTTCTGGGATAAATGCCAGCTATGATGAACACAGGCTTCTGATCTTTTCCCTGGTGGTCTATGCAATTCTGTAGGGCTCTTAGGGGGCTGTTCAGGGGTCCGATTTTTGCTCACACAAATCTCCTGGGGTTTCACAAGTTCAAACTTATTTCCATTTTTTTCTTTAATTTGCCTAGTTTGTGGCCTCACTGGCAAGATAGTAAAAGAATTCCACATATGAGCATAATTTATTTCAGTCCTTTAAAGTTCAGATGTAAATGTAGAATCCTAAATAGGTTCATCCTTCTCAGATTGTGCCCTTTTACAGCTCCCTCCAAAGCTGCTCCCCTGTCATTGTGCTGGACTCTATAATAGCTGCTTGGGAATTATGGAACTGGCAGTCCAACACACAAAGACTCACAAAAACTCACAGTCTAGACTCACAAAGAGAGTATGGCTCAATAAGAAGCTAACAACACAGACCAAGGTCCAGATCTATAGAGCCTGCGTCCTGAGCGCACTCCTGTCCTGCAGTGAGTCCTGGACCCTTTGTGCACGGCAGGAGAGGAAGCTGAACACCTTCCATATGCGTTGCCTCCAACGGATTTTTGGTATCACCTGGCAGGACAAAGTTTCGAATACAGTAGTCCTAGAATGAGCTGGAATTTTTAGCATGTATACATTATTGAAACAGGGACGTCTACGTTGGCTTGCGCACGTCATGAGAATGGCTGAGGGTCGGATTCCAAAAGATCTCCTGGATGGAGAATTAGTGCAGGGATATTGCCCCAGAGGGAGACTGCAGCTGTGATACAAGGAGATCTGCAAGTGGGATCTGAAGGCTTTAGGAATGGACCTCAACAGATGGGAAACCCTGACATCTGAGCGTTCAGCCTGGAGGCAGGCGGTGCATCATGGCCTCTCCCAATTTGAAGAGACCCTTGTCCAGCAGGCCGAGGCAAAGAGGCAGTCCCGAAACCAGCCAAATCAGGGAGCTGGACAGGGGACATATTGGGTTTGTCTTCATGGTGGAAGGCATGATCACTCTCGAATTGGCCTTCTCAGCCACACTAGATGCTGTTCCAAGACCTACATTGAGAGCACGGTCCCATAGTCTCCCAAGACAGAAGGATGCCTAACTATCAATCAGTCCAACACACAAAGTCGGGTAAAGTTGTTCACTGTAAAACACAGCTTGCTTCCTATTTCTCTTTATTTGTGTCTCTTCAGAGTTCTCTCATCTCCTTGTACCAATTACTTCTAATGTTTACTCAGTCATTATAAGGTCAAACAGCACTATTAGCTACAGGGTAGAATTAGTGAAACGGCCATTAAAAGGTCATCAAACGGGAGGAGGGGTCTACTCATTAGCATCTCCACTGCCTAAGGAGAGAGAAGGTCATCTTGTAAATGAAACTTAGTGTACATGGAGGACCACATGACAAGCAACCATTGATTAAACTAAGTAGGTCTGGTGCCTGGATGTAGAGAAAACCTGACAACGTTTATATATGCTACCCCAGATAATTGCATTTGTGCTATGATGCAAGAAACAGATTCTACATACAAGGCAGGATGTGCAGCTGTGTATCGAGCCTTACCATATACAATGCCTCCTAGTTTCCTCGTAATCATAGAATCATAGAAAAGTGAAGTTGTGTGCAGCTGTGTATTGAGCCTTACAATATACAATGCCTCCTAGTTTCCTCATAATCATAGAAAAGTGAAGTTGGAAGGGGCCTCTTAAGACCATCAAACCCAACCCCCTGCTCAAGGCAGGAATATAATCAAAACATATCTGCCAGGTGATTATCTACGTTTTTCTTGAATGCCTCCAGTGTTGGAGCACTTGCCAACTCCCGAGGTCACTGGTTCCACTGTCGTACTGCTCTAACAGTTAGGAAGTTTTTCTTGATATTCAACCGAAATCTGGCTTCCTTTAGCTTGAGCCCATTGTTGTGTGTCCTGCCCTCAGAGATGATTGAGAACGGATCCTGCCCCTCATCTGGAGGGCAGCCTTTCGAATATTTGAAAAGTGCTATCATATCACCCCCTCGGTCTTCGTTTCTCCAAGCTAAACATGCCCAATTGTTTCAGCCTTTTCTTCTAAGGAAAGCTCATCCCTAAGAAGCACTAAGAATCAATCTAAGGCTTGGCTTCCAAGCCTTAGCTCATCCCTAAGAAGCACTAAGAATCAAATGGTCTATTCTTTTTTTGCACAAAATCTCTCGGGGAATGCAGCTGCACCTTTTCGGTGGGACAGCCGATTCTCTTTCAAGCACTCCCTCTCAGATAAGCAAAACCTGCCTCGAAATGTGAAATACTGGTTGCAGTAGTAAAAGCAGCATCAGGGCTGGGAAAGGATGGGCGGAGGAGGGAGAGAAAGATGGAGGGATGAGAGAAAGAGAGAGTGAATGGGAGACAGGATTTGGAACACCGTTTCTGAAGTCGTATTTGCTGATGGAGTATCAGACAGGTGGAGATAGAGGGGACAGCAGTGAAAATAAGGGAGTTGGACCCTTATGAATGAAGGCTGGAACATCATGCAATCATTACTGAAAACCTGTTTCATCATGACTGTAATAAATCATAGAAGTGCAATCTCCCGCTCAATAATGGTTGTTTTAAAACAGATGGCAGTTACGTACAGCATTCTGTTCCCTTTAAAACAGACAGATGGCAGTTACGTACAGCATTCTGTTTGAACTTACTAGCATTTGCATGAATATGTTTTTAAATTTTTTAAAAATCACATGCATACACAAGTGGTGCAGAAAGAGCACAGAGTGACAAACGGAATTTCTACGTTTGCCAAGTTCTTCAGGGTTCACTTTCTCTAAAACAGAACCATCCTTGGCAACTGGCAAATGGAGAAGCCAGAATTTTCTCCACGGCACTGAGCAATTCCGCGGTGGCTGCATTTTTGAGGGAGATGACCTCTTCTAACCTTGCTCTTGACCCTACGATTACCTAGCTCTCTGATGAGCTGAAGCAAAGGGCTAATCATCTTAGCCAAAATCTTTTGAGGTCAGACATGACACGGCACTAGGTAAACTGGGGTTGTGCGAGATTAAGAGCTCACGATCAAGGATCCTGCCTGTGAACCAACTCAAAAGTTAGTTATCGGTCATGAAAAAAACCCACAGGAGAAAGCCATAGAAGGAAGACCTGAAATATCTATGAGTGGATCTTCTGATAAGAAAGAGAAGGCACCAAAGACTGTCTCCAGGTAAGGAACTTCCTATGTAAAAATCAACAACTCACAGGAGAAGGGCCCGCAAGTATGTCATAGCTTTCCACTGAAGTTTGTGGCTTCCAGGTTTCCCTCTTCAATTAACTTTTGTCAAAGACCTAAAGCAGATCACCTTGGGAACGTTTTGGGTTATCTAATATAATCTTCTTTCATCACACGCTCCACCACAGAAGAAATGTTTTGGATTACCATACCCACAAGGCCAGTCGCCCTGTTGATTAAGGATTCTAGAAGTTGTGCAACGACAGCCACAACAAACCAGATTTGGGGTTTAATCGAAGCAAACAATTCTTACGGTCTTGCTGAGATGATGGAGAACCCGTTGACTTACTTTGAGTAGCCAAGTCAGCACTGAATCACGATATGGGACGAATTTGTTCTTATTTTTGCCCGCAGCCTGATCGGCAAGGGCGGAAATGACCAGCCCTAGAGTTGTGAGGGACCTGCATGGGAGGGAAAAAGATGTTTTGAGCGATACACAGCATCAGCAAAGCACAATGATGAACAAGCTTAGGAATATCTGGCACCCCCATCTGACAGGAGCCTTTTAGCTATTTTTGGAGTCATAGTCATATTACCAACAGCTTGCTTTTGAGCATGAAACCACGGTCACTGGAGCCGAGACACTGACGACAGAAAAATGAACACAGAGAGAAACCAGGAGTACTTGAGAAGGGATCAATAGAAATTGGTCATATTGTTCTGAATTCAAACTATGTCTTATTACCAATTCTTGGTGGCATATAAAGGAACAAAAGACAAGAGTTATTTGTTTTTAAAAGCAATATTAATGGAAATGAATACACAAAATGAAATGGAGGAGAACCAAGGGAATGGAGGGAAATAGGGTCTAAAGCAGGGGTGTCCAACCTTTCACCTTCCCTGGGCCACATTAGAAGATGAAAATTTGGTTTGGGCCGCACATAAATTTGGTTTGGGCCGCATGGGGGGGCAGCCCTAGCCATCCTCTGCAGCCTCGCTCCACGCGTGCTTACTGTCAGCTGTGATCTCAGACAGCAGAGGCTGCCAGCTTTGACTCCGGCGGCTTTATGGGGCCGAGAGGGGGTTCACCTATTGACGGGGATGGCGCAATGCAGCCCCCCTGTCCCCTCCCCTCCTGCTCCTTCCTTCCTTCCCTCTCTCCCCCCTACCATTGTGAAGTGCCCCAGCTGCATTCCAGCTGCAAGCGCCAGCAGTGTAACTTGAAATTTTGGAATTTCTTTAAAAATAAAAAATTGCACTGGGCCGCATTATGAGCCAACCTGGGCCGCATGTGGCCCTCGGGCCGCAGGTTGGACAACCCTGGTCTAAAGAAACAAATGTTCAAGCGGGAATAGCCATTAATCCAAGTGTCAACTCACTTGTGGTTACTTTCATGAATGAATGAATGAGTGAATGAATGAATGAATGAATGAATGAATGAATGAATGAATGGGGTAAAAACACACTTGCTGTTATTCATCATCATTTCAAAATATTCTGTTACTCCTTATTAACAAAGCTTTACTTGTTGATGTTGCTTCCTTCCTTCAGCCTGTCCCCTGCAGCTCCTGTCTTGGTTGCTCTTTCACTTCCTGCTAAGTCCACGAGGCTCAGTTTCCCTACTTTCTCACCAGACGTCTGTGGAATGAAAGCGGAGACGTTAGCCTAGAGAGAACCCAACGGCTCAGGCCTTACTGTTTTACAGGGTTCTTGACCCTCCACATTTTCTAGTTTGCTGCCTCCCCGCTCCCCCATGAATGCGGAGCAGCTGGCCCTGGTGGCGGCGGTCCAGCTGAGCTATAGGCAGTGGTGGGGTTGGGCACGATCTGGAATGGGGTCTGGAGGCACCTCCGTGTCCGGGAATCCCCCTTCCGCCACCACTTCTGCCACCACCTGCTGGGTTGTTTTGGTTCGCCATCACTGGCCTAGAATGTGGCGTCTGTGGTGTCAGTAACAGAACGAGGTTCACCGGCGGTGTGCCGTAAAGTAGTAGGCACAGAGCACGTGGGGCAGAAACGAACGGCTTAAAAATCTACACTGAAGCTTCTCTTGCTGGAAGGCTGACGAAGCAATCGTCTGGCGCTTATGATCGTCAGGATCAGCCCGAGGCACTATTTTGTCCAGCATGTTGCTCTCCCGTTGGCCAGCTCAGATGGCTTGGAGAAGCCCATGAGCCTGACTTGAGGGGCAATAGGGTTGAGCCACCCAGTAACCTTTTCTGAATAAAGAAGTATAATTCTCTTGATTCAGTTACCAGGATACCCCCAGAGAAAGCTCTCCCAACGGGATTGTTTGGGTAAATCTGTAAGGTCCCCCTGATGCTGAAAATCCAGGCTTAACTGGGAGTAGTTCCAAAGGACCTCAAGGGAGGTGTCTTCTGATAGAAAAAAGTCATGTGGCCCCTTAAAGACTCATATATAGTAAGACCCCAGTATCCTCGGAGAATCCGTTCCACAGCGCTCCCACCACGGATACCGATAAAAGCAGAAATATCCAACACTATGGTCTATAGCTCCCTTTAGTGGCCAGTTCTAGTAAATAAACCCTGGAAATGCATATTTCTGAGGGTTTTATTTAGTATTTTCAGGCAGTGGATAAATGAATCAGCAGATACTGATCCCACAGGTAGAGGGAGGTCCTACTGTACTTTATATGGTATAAGCTTTCCTGGACTTCAAACGCATAGAGTACAGTCTCATTAGACAGACATTGATACAAACAAGGGAAAGCAATGAATGTGAAATCTGAACCTTCTGACCCATACGGGAAAATGCAGAATTGTCTTATGCAGCCGAACACCCTTCGCTCTGCGATTTTCGCCCATTGGGGCTGTCGCTCTGCAATTGCATTAGCGATCGAAAAAACGTCCCCGTATAGCGAATTCATCACTCTACGGGGTGCTCGTTGTGCGAGGCACCACTGTATTCAACATTATAGTCTATAGCTCCCTCTAGTGGCCAGTTCTAGTAAATAAACCCTGGAAATACATATTTCTGAGGGTTTTATTTAGTATTTTCAGGCAGTGGATAAATGAATCAGCAGATACTGATCCCACAGGTACGGGGAGAGCCT